CATTGTTTTGTGCCTTTTTTTTTTTTTTTTTTTGAGAGGTTTTTCCTATAGGACACGTGAGCTCTCCAGAAAGACAGAGAGAGACAGTCAGAAAGCGAGCAATCACCCCCCAGGGGGATGACCATGCCACAATCCCTTCTCCTTCATTCTCCTCTCAGGATCTTGGACATGCACGTGCACGTGCCTGGCATGAGTTTAAGCCACGAGGTCCAGGACTCGAACCACGGTCGATTACATGGGAGTCCAGCAACATAGCCCTTACATCAACTGCTGGTCCCGGTTGTGTGCCTTTTTTAAGAGGCCAGCTAGTGGCATAGTGGTCAATGTCGCTGGATTGTATGTGGCCGACAGCACGGTTTGAGTCCCAGACAAGATGGCATTGAAAAAAATGCTTAGAGCATGAGCATGTGTGCCTAAAATCCAAAAGAAGGGAAAATGGAGAGGAAGAGATTGCAGATAGCAGTCACCAGTGGGAGGTCCTTTCTCACTTTCCCTTTTTATCTCTCTCGTAAGCGTGACCACCTCTGACAAAATTATTTTTAAAAAATGAGATTTCGTTTTGTAAACTAAAGTTAAAATGTTGATGTTGTCAAAGAGCAGCAAATGCCCCAAAAATATAAGAAAATAGGTTAAATTTCACAAATAGTCAAACAGATTACATCAATGAGATATCAGGGCCAGCAGACGGTGTGATTTGAGTCCTGGGGGCTTAGAAAAAAACGTCATGCATATACATGCGTGCCCAGAACCCCAAGGGAGACTGAAGGAGAAAGGATTGTAGCATGGCCATCCCCCCTGGGGGGTGATTTCTCACTCCCTGCCCCACTCCCTGGGTATATGCACATGCCCCTATAGCAAACAAAAACAAACAATGAGATATCAATTTTCACTTCTCACTTTAGCAAAGGTCGAGGAAAAAAGAACAGAGGATCTGAGGGAGACATTCTGTGAACTGCCTTGAGCCTGTAAACTGCACCACCTCCTCTAGGCTGGACTATCAGAATTTCCTATGGGTGGGAGCAGCAGGTGGCATGATGGTTAGGGCACTGGACACTCCCATATGGTCGACATCGGTTCAAGTCCCAGAGCTGGTGGCTTGCTTTCTGACTATCCCTCTGTCTCTTTCTCTCTGTGTCTCTCTCTGGTCAAATTAAAATGAATGAATGAGTAAATAAAAATAAATAATTCTTTAAAAAAAAAAAAGAAGTTCTTATGCGTATCATTTGAACAATTAACTACAATCCTAGGTTGTGACTCTTAGGAAAGAATCAACTATGGACAACGGTTTGTATGTAAGACTATGTTAGCTGAAGTAGTGTTTATAGTATCAAATAACTGGGCAAACGAAGTGCCCCTCAGGAGATCATTGAAGTGAAGCAAGGTCCATCCATGTAATGCAACAGCATGCAGTCATAAAACTAAAACTACAGTTTCATTCCATGTGATGTGAAGAGATGCCCACCATACAATAGTAAGTGAAAAAAAGCAGATGATAAAACAATGCGTGGGCATGCAGGGGAGAAGAAACTGGAAAGAATTACACTAAACTATTAGGAAGGGTTTCTCTCTTAGCAAAGTTTTCCTCTTTGTGTTTATTTTCTGATTTCTTTTGTAGTAAGTATATACTCTTTTTTTGCCTATAAGAGTGTATGTGCTTGCTGAAGAAAAAGACAGAGAGAGAGAGAGAGAGAAGGCGAGAGAGCGCCCCCTGGGGGTTGGCTTCACTGCAATTCCTTCATCTCCATTTTCCTCTAGGGATTTTGGGCATGCAGGCACACATGCTGGGCGTGTTGTTCAAGCTACCTGGTCGGACCCAAACCACTCAGTTGGCCATGTGGAATCCAGCTGATTTAAATACCACACCACCTAGCTGGCCCTATAGACATATTTTTATAACTTAAAAAAAAATAAAGGTTTTTTCCCCCCCTCTATTTTTCCATTTTCTCTTAACACTGCTAAGTTGATAACAGGTTACTCCTGCGCTTGCCGTTCACTGCGAATCCACACTAGTAGAGTGGAGCGAGGTACCCTCCACCTGAGTTAGAAGCCCTGGGCTCTGCGGCTCCTGTCACTTGCCCTGAGTAAGCTCACCTTCCTAAGCTGTTCCTCCTGTGCAGAGTCTTTGTAAACGGTAAAGCTCTGAACCAACAGGAGTATTATATTATTATAATGTACTGCTTATTGTAAAACTGCTATCATTTTCTTGGGGGTTTGTAATCCTCCTATTTCTAATTTGTTCACAATAAAGCAATCTCTAGACCTTTGCAACTCAAAGTGTGGGCCCTGGACTAAAACCAGGGTTTAGCACAGCTGTCGCCAGCACTGACACCCGGGCGGCAGGGGCAGGCTGACTTCAGCGTCTCATTCGACAACACTGGACATAGTTACAGAGCCGCCACCAAAGACAGAAGGGAGCCTGGGTCTGCAGGACGTTACCCTGGAATTAGACGACAACATCCAGGCCATCTGACCTTGCTGATCCTGGGCAGCCGCGTCCCCACTCGGCCCGTTTAGGTGACTAGTTTAAAAACAAACAAATACAGGCAGTTTACATTTTGGAAACACTCTTGAGCTACCGGGTAGCCAAACTAGGGAGGATTACTCGGTGTGACACGGGGGGATTTCATGCAGCGCTCCTTGGACGATAGGAGCGAGCAGCCTAGTGTGGGGGGGCCGCCGTG